CAGGGGCGGCCGGATACAGAGAAGGGGGCGAGCGGCAGCCGCCGGGCCCGGCCTCGCCCCTCAGCGCTGGCTCCCGCCGGGGCTCCCCGCGGCCAGGCACGGCCGGAGGGGCGGCACCGCCTGCCCTCAGGCAGGTAGCTCCATCCTCACGCCGCCGCCGCCATCTTCTCGGCGCCCCGCGAGCGGCGCAGGGGGGGACGGCGGCGCCGCGGGGTGCGGCGAGGGAAAGGGCTGGGGGGGCGCCCCCTGTCAGCTCTCCGCTGCCGTGCCAAGCTGGGCCGTGCCGGGCCGAGCCGGGCCGACGCGGGCTGTTTGTTTGTCGCCTTCCTTCCCGCTTCGCCCCCCCCCGCTCCGCCGAGCGCTGTGCCCGGCCCCCTGACGTCCGCGAGGAAATGGCGTCCCCGGCGGAGGAGGCGGGGGCGGAAGCGGCCGCGGGAGGCGGTGGAGCCGGGGCCGGGGCCGGCTCTGGCTCTGGTTCTGCGGGGAGCGGCCCCGGGGCGAGCGGGGCGAGCGCTCTTCGGTGCCGGGCGCCCGCGCCGGTAGGTGGGTGGGTGGGTGGACTGCTGGGGGCGGCTCCCCGCTCCTCTCCGTGCGACGCGAGTTTGCCCTGAGCGGCCTTCCCTCGGAGCCGCCGGGCTTCGGGGGCTGCCTAAGCCTGGGCTGGGGCCGCGTGCGGGCGCCGGGTGGGTTTGTGAGGCAGCGACGGAGGTGGCGGGGTGCTGCGAGGGGCTTGCTCCTGCCGGGGCTGCGCTGCAGGGCTCGGGCAGGTTCCCCGGGGTGTGGGGTAGCGCCGCGGCCGGCTCTTTGTGGTCGCAGGCCGGCTGTGTGTGTCGTACTGGCTTTTACTGCGTAAAAACCAAGCAAGGGGATGGCTGTTTAGTGCAGCTAAACAAAAACCTTGTTTTTAATCTGTCCTCATAACCTCTGATAACCCATTTGGTTCACAGACGCTTGGAAATCTGTATTAAATTCATCAATAACGATGGTGAATTATTCAATAATAGACTACGTTCACCAATTTTCAGCAGCTGTTAATTGCAGTTTTTGCTGGCATCACGTGGTTTTCTTAGTGCACTCTGGATGAGCGAAGTGCAGAGCTAGCTGCTGCTGAATCATAACAGAGCCTTACACAACTCGCTGCCAATTGCCTGTCTGTGAAGCAGCAGCTCCTGTGGTAGCTCCTGGGTGCTGGCAGGAACAAAACAGCAAGGTTTGGAGTTCTCTGGGCTGGCCCTAGTTGCCGAATTCACTGAGTCTCCTCTCTTACTTTTTCGGACAGTGGTAAATATGCCTGCTTAAGATGCTCCTTTAGTTTTGTGTTATTAATGTCATATATTGAGTGTAGTGGTATAATCTAAAATGCACGTTTCCATATGCAGAATGGAGACTGACTGCAATCCTATGGAGTCTCCCAGTAATACAGGATTTGAAGAGGATTCTGATTATACAGACTTTGAAGGAACAGATGTGAAAGATATGAGACTAGAAGCCGAAGCTGTTGTGAATGATGTTCTTTTCGCTGTCAGCAACATGTTTGTCTCAAAAACCCTTCCATGTGCGGAGGATGTGGCGTATATCAATGTGGAAACCAGGGAAAGGAACAGGTACTGCCTGGAGCTCACTGAAGCAGGACTCAGGGTAAACTAATTTGTTTATAATTTCTTATGCCTCTTTGTTTTGAGTAATGATCTTGTTCAAAATGTGTCTAGAAAGATACTTCAGAGGTACCAAAATAACACACACATTTATCTTGTACTTTTATGAAAGCCTGTTCTACATGTTTCCCTAGAAAGGGGAACTTTAGTTACTTCAAACAAAGCGAGAAGAGAACTTGATGGAAAAACAGGCATTTTTGTATAGACGTCTGCAAAATGATGAAGACTGAAGTAGCCAATGGACATATTTATTATAGGCGTTAGCACTCTGGGTTTCTCAGGTACCCAGATAAATCATTAACACAATATGTATACAACTCTATTTTCTACCATTTATAGTGTATGTGAGAATCTTACATAGATGTAAGACTTCTTTTCAAAGGTGACAATGACAGTTTTTACTAATATTCTGAGTTTTGGAAGAAAGTATTTGTAACAGTCTAAATGCTGTATTACCGGTAAGCCCTGCAGTAGAAAGCACAGACTGCAATTTAAATCAAGTATCTTCTTTGCATATTACTGTACTGCCTTACTGGAAAACTTAAACTTTGTGGTATCTATTTCCCATTGCAAGGTGATCCTAATCACAAAAAAATTAACCAATGATTTCTTTGTTACAGATAGTAGCTTATGATTTTGATCAGACTGATGACAGTTTGCAGACACCGTACCATGAAACTGTCTACTCCTTATTGGACTCTCTCAGCCCTGCATATCGAGAGGTGTTTGGAAATGCATTACTACAAAGACTAGAAGCTTTGAAGAAAGATCAGTCGTGATTTACTCTAAAGTGAAGAAGATCTAATATTAGAAGGAATTCTTAGTATGAGGCACTGCATTCTTTCTTACAAACACAGCCACAAACATCTTAAGCTCAATTTCTTGCATTAACATCTGCTACATACTAGTACTGATCTATAGCATTTTGCTTCAGAGGATTAGTGCATATCACAGTGCTATTGCTAAACTGTAAAACTACTAAACTTATTTTTTCTTCTTGCTGAAGGTGAGCAAATACCTTGCTTCTCACAACATTTAAAAAAAATTTGTTCTCTTCAAAATGTTACTATCCAAAATTCTTGAAAATACGTAGAGACTGCATATTACAGAGGCAAGTAGTAATCTTTTTTTTTTTGGCGTATGCTTACTGATCATTGTCATATATGCTTTTTAAAATAGAAGTTAACTGTCTGATTAACATCTAGTAATTGAAATTGATTGGGTAGAACAGGCAATTATTTTCAGTTTAAAACAGATCTTTACTTTTTTGCATAGAATAGAATTTCAGCTTGATTTGCTGTGCATAAATCTGAAAATTCTAAGCTTCAGTAGCAAGAAGGATGACTTTTGAACAGTTGAGTGTTGATTATATAATAATAGCACCTGAGTTAAAAGGAAAGCTCGGTATTGTTTGATCTTGTCCGTGTCTGTGGCAACCAACACACTCCAAAGAGTGAATTAGATGTACTGCTACTATATGAATGTATTGTCTGAATTGCAAATGAGCTAAGCACAGAAGTAAATTCAGATGTAACAGGCTACATTCCCTAAAGACGATGTTATATATGATATATATGTATGTATGCTATATTGTAACTGGTTGGGAGGTTTGAAAGACATTTTAGCCTGTTTACTGTTCTGAATGTCTGTTTACATGATGTACAGGATATACCCAAGAGTATTTTTGCTTCAGCCTTTACTTTCTATAATACAGTACTTTGGTACTCCTGTTTTTCAACTTTTCTCCCTCAATTGTACAGCATCCTCTCCTAATGAATAATGAGTAAGCACTGTAATGTTACTTGCATTGTATTGGTTTGAAACCAAAGGTTGTATGAAATTTGCTAAGGCTAATACAAGCTGGAAGGTGTAACTTGTATTTTCTACTTTAAAAATGATATAAATCTCTTTATAAATCTATTGTATTGCTGTAACTTTTCAAGTACGTATTGAATGGTAGACTTTTTTTAAAAAGATACTGTTGGCTAGAAATACTAGAACTTCTAATCTAGCATTTTGTGACCGTCATACTTTTTGTATTCTTGTATTACTCAGTATTTGTGCATCTTAATTTATTCTGCCATGTTTAGGTGCTAAGTATATGCAGTAGCTTTCTTGGAGTCACACTTAACGAATACATCAGTTCCAGTGATTTCAGTAGACCTATATTGGCTTACACCTGCTGAAGAATAATCTAATTAGAGAGGCCGCAAAGAGCTTCTATAATAGCTTTGGGGTAGTGATGTTATAACTATGACTGATGAGACAACTGCAGTCAGTGCTTCTGTTTTCTAGAGCTTGATTTCTTTATCTTGTTAGATTGGCACTTGGGATGTTAATCCTGTGCTCCAGGGTATGAATCTATGCTCTAAAAATTGTTCATAGGCTCTCTTTTGCACACAGGTCTGTGGCACGTGGTTAGTCCTCTGTGAGGAGAATGTACTTTACCGAATTTATATTTGAATATTTTCCCTTGCAATTAATTTACTTGTTCTATTTAAACGACTAAAGCATTAAACAAATGCACACACCAATGTGTTGTAGCTTTCTTGGGGATGGGGGGGAGAGAGGGGATGTGAACAACCAAAGTTATTCTTTCCTTAAACACTTGTTAACAATCTAATATTTAAGAACTATTTCCAAAATACCTCTGGCTGCAAGCTTGTATCCACTGAGCCTGTCATGAAAAGATATGGTAAGTGACTGCAGAGGGACTTGGAAAGGAGGCATGACAAATACAAGTGGAAAAAAATGACAAAGATAATGTTATATTGCCAAGAACTTTTTCATAGACATATTTAAAATGCTTTGTCATTTCAAGTGCTTATTATAAACCTAAGCTGAGAAATACTTCTAAAACATATGGTTTGTAGGTGTTACCAGAATAAATTTATATTACTTCTTGTACTGAACTATTAACTTCAAAAGGGGAGAGCTATGTTATTCCACAATTTCTTATTCTGGGTTTATGAATAACGCGCTCTCTGGTCCTTATACTTAGAATTGTTGCTTGAAGGGAGCTTATTTGAAGCACTCACAGTGAACAATTTTAATAGGTCTTAGACCAGTTCATTGTCATTTTTTGAAACTGAATAAATGCTGCTCGGCCTAGTGCACCTTTCCAGAACATTTAAGATTATGTGTTATCACTGGAAGAACGATCATTGAAAGGTAGTGATTACTAGTGATTAATTACCTAAAAAGCCTCAAAGGCTGCTTACTGTCCAAAGGATGTCTAATACCATAGCTTTAACATAGCTTTAAAACTTTTTTCTTTTTTTTTTTTTTCTCACAGAAATACTAGATTTTGTCTTCTTCAGTGCCAAGAAGTTAGGAATAAACTCCCTCCTTTATTGACTGCAGGTATTCATGTTTGTTGTAGGATAGATTGAATTAGGTATGAAAAAAGTATATGTACATACTAAGTGCCTGATTATATTTGGGATAGTCCTTGAGTTCTTCAGCAGAGCTCTGAAAAGCAACTCCCCAGATGAAATGTTTGAGTGAGGACTGCTGTGGGTAAGGCCATGTTGAACTCTGTGAGGAAGTGGCCTTACAGAGCTGCTCATTGCTCCCTACACGTTACTGCCTTGCTTTCCTGACTCATTCTCGATTGATCTTGATTCACCTGAGGAAGATGATGGAGGCAGAGATGAGAAAGGCACGCTTCCACTCCATGATCAGGCAGGTTCACAGGTAAAACACCCGAGGCAAGGCTACGCCAAGGCTTAGGCTACACCAAAACTCCCCATAGGCAGCCGCCTGCTGAAACTCCCAGGCCAGCAGGAGCCGGCTGGAGGGCAGGATGCCGGTGTGCGGTCCCTCAGCCCGTGCCCGCAGCGCCCCGCGCCGGCTGTGAGGGCGATGCGGCAGCGCCCGGCCCCGCCTGGCTCGGCGCAGCCGCCGCCAGCCCTTAGCAACGGGCCGCGTCGCCGGCTGGAGCTGCGGCCATGGAAGCGGGACTCGGAGTCGCTCGGAGCCGGCGGATCTTCCTCAACCACCTCGACTCCTACTGCGGCCGCAATATCGGCGAGGTGATGGCGTGGCGACCCCCGGCTGCTCTCCTGGCCGCCGGGCAGTGTCCGGCCGTGGTCACCTAATATGGCTGCTGCGGAGGGGGACTGGGGGCAAGGGGGTGAAGACAGGAGGGAATGAGAGGAGGAGGTGGAGGTGTGCGTAGAGCAGGTCGAGACTGGGGCGGCAGCTTCGGGCTGTGTTGAAAGATAATGCTTGGAGATAACATCTCCCTGAGGTAACGCCTTCTGGAGAGGAGTCAGGTTGAGGAGAAGAGGCGTCTGGGGACACAGCAACACCTTCACCTCTGAGGCTTAGGGCAAGCGGCAAGATAAAATGTCGCTGCCGAGTTCGTGCAGTCCATAACATTTCCCTGCTTACCCAAGTCGTATTCTGAGCTACACTGCCTGCAACAGCATCTAAGCTAGTCAGCAGCATTGGTGTCTTCCCAAGACTATGAGAAGCTGCGTAGTGCAGTCCCAATGCGATACATATTTGCATACAAATGTGCGTCTTGTATATTGCAGTATTTATCCAAATGTGTTGTTGGAGCGTCACTAGAAAGCATAGAGGAAGAGGAGGAGGAGGATGAAAAGAACTCAGCTGCTGAAGTTTCTACTAGGCCAAAGGAGGGAGTCTACCAAATAGTTGGTACCCTTTCTAAGCCAGGAGGTACTAAACCATGTTTTGCAGAGGAAACATATGAAGTAAGTAATAATCTTATTTCAGGTCATTGTTAGGTAACGTTAGGAATACTGCAAGTCACGTAAAATGACCAACCAACATTAATAAAGTGTTCTCTTGCTGCTGGAAATTGTATGCATATTTTACTCCCTATGATTCCTGCACACTTGCCTCCTCCCTGCTAGTTCTCATACAGCAAAAGTTGAAAGAATCCAGTCTTTATATATATATATACATATATATAAATATATATATATATATATATATTTAATGGACAGGATGTTATCAATCCTGATAATCCACAGGTCTGTTTTCTTTTTCTTTCAAAGCACACTCTCTTGTGTCTCCTGTATCTTTTATCAGCTTAGGTAGTAGTACTGAAATCAAAGTCAGTGTCCTCCCGTCTTAATTTTTCACTGAAATCACAGCTTTCACTAGCAGCTAATTATTCTGAATACCTGCATCTTTGTATATATGTCCAGAGTTTGGTTAACTGAAGAAGGCTTGTTTTAAAGAATGTAATTGCTTAATGTTTTCTGAAACTAAAATTGACTCTGTCTCAAGCTGCTTATTATCCAGAATCTCTTCAAAATTTTGAAAGTTTTGTTCTGAACTTCTATCAAGATGAGCTGTTTAATCTGAAAATTATGGTTAGCTATATTTAATCTCGCCCACTGCTGTCACGCAGAATGTTTGTTGGATTTGTTCAAGTGTTGCAGACAATCCACATTTAACAAAGATGGGATGTTGTTTTGCAACGAAACTGACATTTTCCTATGTCTTGTCCATTCTGCCAGCTGATCCTTGCTTAAAATACCTGTAAAAGTCATAGATATTTTTGTGATACTAATAATTATACTGAAAATACAAATCCTAAAATAGCACTTAAAATTGTACATACTTCTGAACTATATTAATGTCTACTTCAAATCAGAAGCTTCAGCATTTAATTTTCATTTCATCATCTTTTATCTGACAGATATAGTTTGATATCAGTCATATGAATTATTCTAGCATCCTTTTCAGAAATCTATGTGCAAGAAAACTGCATTCTATCTATCAGAAAGTTACTGTTGAAAAATAATTTTGAATAGATTTTCCCCCCTTCTTTCCTGTGTTTTCTAACAACAAGTTTTAACTATTTTTCCCACAGGTCTCTTCTCAGAAAGAGCTCTTAAGTTATTTGCTTGAATGTGAGATTATTTTGTATAACATCACTGAGGATGCAAATCAAATTGAAGAAGCAAAATGGGCTGCTTCTGGTTAGTATAGCCATCGACTGAACAGAAAATTGTTTGCTATATAGCCACCAAAGTTTACGAGAAATGTGTAATGAAATGACCTTGGATTTATAGTTTACTGTAATATAAAACTGGCATCCTTGATAGGGAAATGCTGCATGAATTGTTCAATTAATTAGCAAGGGACCATTGATTGCATTTTAGCATTCATAAGCTAGAGAAGCTGTCATAGAATGGTCCAACACTTTAAATGACATATCTGTGTAGGCAGCTATTTCCATAAATAACTATCCACAGCCATCTTATTTATTTGTGTTTGAAGGTAGGCAGAAAACTTGCTCCTTTGGTATTCAAATGATGTTTAATATTTTATATATATATATATATATTTTTTTTTTGCTTAAAACTGCAATGAAAAATACCATTTGGTCTTTCTGCAGTTTTTTCCTGATTGATGCAACCGAATTCTAATGGGTATATGGAATCCTCTTATGCCGACAATGCAAAATTGCTCTTTATATGATAAACTAAACTATACATTTCCGTGTATTGTCTAAATACTTAAGTAACATTGTAAGTTTTCAAGGACTTAACAAAGTATCATCCACATGTAATTATTTTGTTCTACATAAAATTCAAATAAAAAAAACTTATTTTTGTAGATTTGTTGTTTCAATTATAAAACACTTTTATTTCAGTATCTTTGTAGTCAGTAAAGATAAATAATTTTCTAGTATAGATTGTTTCTTTTTTTTCTTTTTCCACAAGATTTGTCTCTATGGAGATTATGTTCATTAGTGGTAATGTGATCCTTTCTTCCCGTTATTTTTCTATTTGTTTTATTATTCATTATTGGTTTATTTTTATTTTATACCAAGCAAAATAAAGAGCATTTGCTTCAAACTACATAACACAGAACACTATAGCATAAATGTCTGTACAGGACCTCTACAGAGAAACAAATATATGGCTTCAGTAGAACAGTTTACAATAAATTACATCCTTTGCTTTTGTTTACCAGCCCTACATACAGAAATAGAGCATTTTGCGACACCAAAGGTATTCATCCTCATTTCAACAGTAATGACCTGGGCAAAAAGCAAACCCCCTGACCCAGTAAGTAATAAGAAAATATTCTTTTTTTAAGTGAATACATCCATTTAATGGAAAATATTCATTGAATTTTATTAAAGTATTTCAGTATGTATTTCAGTACTAGCAGGTAAGGTTAGTGTCAGCAAGTATATTTTTTTCTCACAGTCCTTTCACATGAAATCTTGCTTTCTGCCAGAATTGTTACATCTATTCCACTGGATAGAGAGGTTTAGGCGTTGAGCTACAATGATAGGGAGATATACAGGAAGATATTAGGACTGTGTAGACATGCTAACTATCAAGTGAAACTTAGAAGTTTCATGAATTTCAAATGAGAACAAAATAGATGTTTTGTGACGTTTTTAAAAACTTGTTTTATCCATCTAGGCCTTTAACATTTGTTTTGGTTTAAAGCATGCATAACAGTTCCTTTTTTTTTTTTTTTTTTTTTTCCTTCCTAGGATGATTCTGAGATTCCTTTTACTGAGGAAGATTATCGCAGAAGAAAATCTCATCCTAATTTTATGGATCACATAAATGCTGAAAAACTTATTTTAAAGCTTGGGAAAACTGTACGTAAAGGTCTTTGTGGGGAGGGAAGAGAAAAAGTTCGGTCATCTCAGAGCATTATCTTGATGTTAGAAGTTACCAAAAATTTGAATATTATTTTTTTTTTTGATAAATGTGAATAGCACCCCTTATTAATAAAATATCAAGAAGGCTACGTTTTTGAAATAATACATATACATACACATAATAACATACACAATACAGATTCCTAATTTTCTCTCTTTTTTTTTTTTTTAGCTAGTGAATGAATCATGCTTTTCTCATTTGTAGTAATACATTGTTTCATTGGCTGTATGAGAGAGGAGTAAAGCTGGGGACTGTGAGGGAAAATCTCAAGGATGATTTTACACCTATCCCCCACTTAAAACGTTTTATTCAAATAAAACAAACATACCAAACAAGCCCAGAGCTGATTATACTAGCTAAAATGTGACATCTAGTGGTTTTAATGAATATTACACAGGAACTTGAAGGTCTTTACCAGTGACTGTATAAATGGAGCTTGCCTGATCATTCGTGGTGTGTTTTTTGTTGTTGATGTTTGTTTGTTTCTATTAAGTATATCCAAGTCATCTCAAGTAGTACCTTCTCATATGTGTGATTTGTGACACTAAATAGGTATTTTTAGAGAATTTTGACTTCTTTTGGAGGTTTGTATTTCACTTGGTGCTAAAGTATCGTTGCTTTCCCATACAGAAACTACTCCGAGGTAAATGATAGAAGATCCTATTAGTTACCTGCTCCTTAGTGTAGATGAGAAATGGCTCCTCCTTTGCTTTCATGAGAGGCAGGCTTTTCCTGGTGGGAGACAGTGCCTTCTGGGGCATGCGTGCAGTCTGTCCAAAGCAAACTTGGGAACTGCTGCTCTTAGGTTAAAAACAGATTCTTTCTCTTGTGTAGTACTAAGGTACTACACAAGTAAACTTAGTATGGGAGCTTTTGTGCTCTCTGCAATGTCTGATTTTAATATTCCATGTGATTACTAACAAGCTGTTGTATTCAATTGAGTTGAGATAGTTTTTGTTACAAAGGTAGAAACACATTGCATGGATAACATACAGTGATGTATTATTATTTCCTGACATCCCCGTATATGATGCTTTGCTTATCCAATCAAAGATTGACTAACAGTGTTGTTGGTTTTATATTTCTGAAATAGTATAAAAAATGTAGCAAACTATGTTTTTTTTCCACACACAAAAAAGTTGATCCCAAGTCCTAGCATTTATAGCCTCTGCTGGTAAATGCAGGTTCTGTTATGTAGATGTATAACGTCTAAGATCTTTACAATATCAGAATTATTTAATAATTTTGTTTAGAGTTAAAGATGTCTAAGCGACTGGTCCTAATTTAAAAGATTTACTTGAAATTTCCCTCCTTAAGATGGTTTAAGTATGGGTTATTTACTGTGTGAAACCATCCTCAACACTGATCCAATCAGTTTCATTTTATGTAAACAGTCATCCAGAACAGGCAAACATATGACCAGGTTTGCATAACGGTCAGCAAAAAATATGAGGGTCAATTGTGATGTATCATTAGAAAAACACTTTATAGTCCACTGATTTTGTTTGAAATTTTATATCAAAATGAAAGCAGAGTGATTATAAAAGTATTGAACCTGCATTTCCCACTTCTTTAGACAATCAAATGCAAGTATAATGCAAATAGGAAAAAAAAAAGCTTCAATGAATTTCATTGTTACATTTCTTGTAAAAAGAAAGTTGAGGCATAAATTATGCAGATCACTTCATTATTATAAGTAACTTCCGATTTCTTAACTTTTAAACGATTTTTGAGAATTTCAGTTCAAATGAAGACAGGTCAATTCTGAGTAATGTTTTTTTGTTGTTGTTGTTTTAAGGAAATATTAACAATATGTCTTACAAAACTACAAGCTATGCAACAATTGGTCTAATTCCAAATTTAAGTGATATAACTTGAGAAATTGCATACTAAATATATAAAGTTTCAGTGTAAACCATTAGGAGTACAATAATTTTATAAATACTTTCTTGTTGGTTTTACTTCACAGAATAAACATGTATTTTCAACTTATGTTGTTGCTTCAGGACTTCAGTATGGAGCTGGGGAAGATGTCTTACACTACTTTTTTAAGGTAGATATCTAAGCATTTTGGGGGAGTTATTTAATATCTAATGGCAAATTGCAATGGAATTAAATACATTTCTAATAGCTTTGGTATCATAAGTTTAATGTTCTTGTGAACAGAATTCATTATTTGATCCCTTAGAAAAGTATTTTAGCTACAATTGAAGTAATTTCCATTTTATTTTTTTGGATCTGCTTTTGTTTGTTTGCTTTGTTTTATTTTCGTAATTTTAGAACAGTATCTACAAGTGCACTTTATAATGAGAATGACTATCAGATCAATGGAACCAAGAAAAATGTCTTTCTTTTCAACATTGCATTCCTTTTTTTTTTTCCCAAGCATTTTTTTTTTTATTTGGGATACGAAGTACTAAAAACATTTGTCAATATCAAAGAGTATCCTTTTAAAAAATAATAATTTTTTTTTTTGGCTGCCAGTATTTCTCAAAATTGTTTACTACAGTTTCATCAGTCATTCAGTAAATGGAATTTTATAATCCTAAATATATAGATTTGCCACTACACAAATATACCATATTAAATGTAACCATTTACTTCTAACTTTGTTGTCAATTTGTAATTTCAGATAGGTTGGCTCAGTGAGGCTACTGCAATACCTGTTTTTGGACATGGAAACAATTTTATTCCAACCATTCATGTTCTTGATTTAGCAGCGTAAGTTTCACTTGGACAGTGATTGATAAGTAACAAACCCAATAGCAGAATATTGAGACTTTTAAACTGAGGCAGAGAGGGTTTAAGAATACTATTTGGCCCATCTTATTGAGGCAGGCAGAGACTTCAGTATCTTTAGTACTAGATATTCCTACGGGAAACCTGGGTCTATTGTACAGGTTCTATGCTTTTAAGGAATTACTGGCAAGGCTGGATATAATGAGTAGTATCACTTAACTTGCACAGAACTAGAAATGCATCACGGATTCTACAGCTTAAATTAATATGTTGTACAGGTGTTGCTTTTTATCCTTTGAACTTCTTTACAAATAAAATATCTATCTTTATTGAAGGTAATATCTTCTTTATTGAAGGTAATATGCATGAAAATATTGTGCTCTGAGTTTTCCAAAATTAAACGTAGTCATTGTATTTGGACAGCTTCTGAATTGCATCTAACGCGAAAAGTCCCAGTATGCTCCTATACTTGACCTTCCTATGTTTCAGAGTGTTACAGAATGTAGCAGACCACAAGCCAAGGTTTAACTATATACTTGCGGTAGATGAGTCTATGCACACTCTTCAAGAATTAATAAAGGTAAGAGATTTTATTCCTTTTCTTTTTCTTTTATTTTCTTTTTTTTTTTTTCCAGATGTTTATAAGATTTTTCAAACTGTACATTTTCACTGAAGTAGATGTCCCTAAGTCTTCCTGAATTATCTTGTGTAATAAATAATAAACAAAATAATTTTAAAATCTACCAAGACTTTTGTCCTTTAAACAAAATGTATTACTTTGACCTCTTTCTGCAGAATTAACTTTGAAAGTATTATCATTAACTTAAATTGAAATTTTACTGATAACTGTGCTGAAATGTTATGGGATTCACAGTACTATAGTCAGATACACAAAAGTCTTTAAAATATTTTTCCTTTCATTTGCATGAAGATATTTTGTTTTTCCAAGCATTTTGAAATGAACTCTAGAAATAGTCTGGATGACACTATTGAACTGTAATTTACAGTGAGACTCAAGAGTTGAGAGAAGCAGCTAATACAGTGTAACAAGAGATTTTCCCATGTAGATTGAACAAATGTTACATAAGAACAGTGCATTCTTTTCCAGTGTCAAAGAATATTTCATGGAACTGCCTTGTAGGAAGGTCACAACAAGATGTATCCCTTGTTTTGGTTCAGGCCTACAGGGTCTCACTGAAAAGTTAATAGTTGAAAAGTCCACCTTGTATAAGTGACCATAATTCAACATTCATGTGGAAAAAGCAAAGGTCAAAATAATCTTTGTAGCTGTGGCCAACTATAGGAAAGAGCATTATATAAAAATGAGCATAAAAGACATTAAAAATATTAAATAGAGAAGAAATGTAGAAGCTATTAAAACTCACATTATTAGATGTATAAGGCCATTGCATGCTACTTATTAAGAAAAGATTGGGAAAGATAAAATTATAATTGGCATGGCTGAGGGAAGCAGGATGGCAGACTTCAAAAAGTTAGTTATATCCTGAAGAAGAAAAATCGTAAAAATCTGGCTGGATAAGAGAAACAAAACAAAATAGACTTAAAACAATATTAAAGGTCAATTATCAGAAAAGACCTAAAATTAATATCCTTCTTTTTTTTTTCAAGCCTTTGAAGAACAAAAAGCTTGCCAGGAAATCTGTAAGGCAAATCAATAGTATAAAAGGGTCACTTACAAAAGCCTAAGCTGTAGCAGAGGTATTTTGCATTTAGTGAGTATAGGTAAGAATTATGAGAAATACCTCGAGAATTACTTTAAGCATACCACAGCTGTTTCTAATTTAGGAAGACTCTGAGCTGAAAATAGTCAAAGATTAGGAGAGCATTTGGAAGAAGTATCATGCATGCTTTTCCTACTCTTACTTTCATTTAGGTGTCCACTAGCTGAAGCTGTTTGAGACAGAATACTGGAAATATTTGGTCTAGTGCTCTATAGCTTTTTCTGTCATAATTTTATGGAATCTAGCGGTTTTTTTTGTTTTGTTTTGTTTTTGTTTTTTAACCTTTTTTAAGGGACTGCAGGAGTGATTAACTTCTGGCTAATGATGAAATGAAACTAAAGAGTTAATGATGGCATTTCATTGATCTGAAAATATTTCCTGACTGTTAACAGAATTAAATACTTATAAAATCTGAAGTGAGAATGCTAAGAAATAAGATAGGTCTTCAATTTGATCTTAAGCAGTATGAAGTTATAGACTTAAGAGCTTTGAAACACTTGGCTATTTTTTGTTGTTGGTTGGTTGGTTTTGTTTTGTTTTATTGCAGCTACTAAAAAGGAAGTGATAAAACAAAACAGAGATGTTTAATACTAACATTAAAGTTAATGTTCTTTGATCTGTAATTCCAATCAGTATACTGATTTTTTCAGGTATAGTGTAACATAACGTTTAGAGCACAGATTTTTATCTCCAGAAATCCTGTTGTTTTTTGTTTGTTTGTTTGTTTGTTTGTTTTTTCTAAGAATCTGATTTGATATGTGCATTACCTTATTTTTTTTTTTCTTCTTCATAGTGTATCAGTAAAAATGTTGGACCAGGAAAAATTGAGAAGATTCCAAGAGAAAATGCATTCTTGAGTAAAGAGTTAACTGTTAGTAGTTTTATTTTATTACTTTTCCTTTTATTACTTAAGGAAAGGATCTAAACCTAAAGAAAATAACGTGAAGTATTATATTATGAAATGTAATTTATTTTTTGTATTTTATTATTAAAATGTATTTTATTTTTTTTACCTCAATTAATATTGAGGTATTACTAAGGCTGACAAACACAACATATGTAAATGATCATCTTCATCTATTTATGTGAAATGAACTGTTCATAGGAGAAATAAATAAATTAAAAACCTCCTAGTTTTAAGGTGTAAAATGAATTTATGAAGTTTTTTTCTCCTGCAATAATGAGACCTCTGTATAGTACCAAATAATGGCTTAATGGTTAATAATTTGATAATTCTCAAGAATACTTAAATATATATTAAAAATGTATGTTTAAAAAAAGCTTAAAATGTATATTTTGCACTTCATGCAAACATGCTTTCCCTGTGCTTAAATTCTTTCTACACCATTCTAGTCTTTAGTTTAAGCCAACAGTGTTATTTTAACATCCTAACATCCATAGCTTGCATCTTTAAAGTAGTTTTCCTCCCTCAGCAAACACATTTGGATATTTTGCTTGTGAACCTACGAATGGAAGCTGTATTTCTGAAAGAGACTTTCAACATTAAGTGGGTTGCTCAGACAGGATTGGTGGAGAACATTGGAAGGGTTGTTAAGGAATACAAGCAAAGTCGAGGACTTCTGGTAATGGCTTGGTGTATGCTGTTTTAAAGTGCTCTATTTTTTCAAATATAAATAGCTATATAAACACAAGCATTATCTTTTTAAGTAAAAATGAACAGAAGACTGACAGATGAAAAATAAGTGAACATAAAATCTGAAAATTCAATTGAAGAAATTAATTAGACGAGATAGAATATTAATTAAGATAATCACCTAAAGTTTTCTGTTATGCCTAAAATTGCAATCAGGTAAGTGAAAACAAGCTTTGTGATGGAGAAGCTGCTGCTTTGAAACTTGTTTCTGTAGGCAATATATGGCATTCCTGGTATATTAGACTTCAAGAAAGCAGTAACTGTCTATTTTATTTAAGATTTTTATGTCAGAGTCAGTAGCTAGGTGAACATTTTGTGTCCTTCATTATACTTACTAAGTCAAAATACTTAACTACAATGTGGCTTTCATTTTACTCCACTCTGTTGTATAATGTAATGAGCAACTTTGCTGTTTCCTATGTTAACTAAATATTTAGCATTTCCATATTCAAATATATAAGGAAGTAGTTATTTAAAGGTGCATAAAAATGCTTGCATTCATTCAAGTATTGCTTGTCTTTAATATGATAAAGCTATTCAGCACGTCTGTATCATGTTCAAACTATGATAGGTTCAGGAAGTGTAAAACAAAATATAACTAGTATCATTCGTTCAAAGTTTTTTCTTTGAAAGTTCCTGCATACATCCAAAAGGATTATCAAATCTGTGCTTGTGTTAAACTACTGCATCTGTGTAGGTATGCCTGCAATTCAAAAAGTTTGATGTAAAATAAAGGCATACCATGTGGTAAGTAGAAGAGCTTAGCTAGACCTCTGTGCCAGTCACAACTCTGAAAAAATTCATTTGCCAGGTTTTGTTAGAAATTATGTTAGAGATTATGTTAGAAATTAATGAATTCATTAGGTTTATATTAAAAATACTGTCAGGTTTACTGAATTGGGATATGAACTTAATGATGTATGGTTTTGAGTTTATTGCATGATATTTATTAAATGTATTTTGTAACTTAGTGATTCAACCATGGGCAAGATAGGCTGAAATGAAAAATTATTAACTTAAGATGGTGATGAATCTGAAATTTTTGAGGTCAGAATAACTATGGTGATGACAGCAACTCTACCTCAGCTGGAAAATAAAGTGATTGCATTTATATAGTAGAATATCTGCCACCTATCTCCAAAATCCACTGCCTATAAGATTGTGTTATGTCTCTTTTAACCATTTAACCTCTAATAGTGCCACTGTAAGTTGGTCTGTTAGGCTGCTAAGTAGAAATATACCTTTTTCTCCAAAGCTGAAGTTGTACCATTGAGTTAACTGCATTACTCAAAAGCAGTGGATGATATAGACCATGCTCAGTGTAAATAAATCTAAAATACATTTTCAGTTTTAATTATAACAGATATTTCCTATTAGTTATACTGAAAATATTGTACCTTTTAAATAAAAATTTCGGTAATGTTTGATTGATGTTACATCTTTCTTTTTTCCCCAGCCTCTCAAAGTTTACATCCACGGTCCGCCTGGGATTGGCAAATCTACCATCGCTGAAAACCTCTGCAAACACTACAAGCTGCATCACATTAAGATAAAAGATGTGATTTCTGAAACAATAGCAAATCTGGTGTGTTACTAGCTGTTTTTTAGTATTGCTATTATTTTAGTTTCTGTGACTTTAAAATGTTTGCCATTGTTTTAAAATGAATTAAACTTCATAATTTAGTACCTTAAGAGTTACCAAAGGAAATAATCATGTTCCAACAAAATGTTTTGAAAAATAATAATATATTGATTGCTTTTTAAGTCCACCTATAACTGTTGGTATTATTTACTTTCTGGCTTTCTTTTCTGATGTGAAAAATACATTACCAAAACAATTTTAGATTTTAAAATGGAAATAGCTTTCAACATACTGATAATCTCTGGGGATGCACTGAACTCTTTTTAAAAATTTAAGGTTGCTCAGTCTCTCATAGTCCAGGAGCATATATGAAATTCATTGTTTTTTTGTTGTTTTTTTTCCCCCATTTATTACATCTGTGTATAGAAGAAAAGTTGTCCGTAGAATTTCTGAGCCTATTCACATTTCTGATCTTGTCTTCAGGAGAAAATTGTGGCTCCTAAAGAATTGGACTATGACAGTGTGGGTGAGGAGGGAGAAGATGAAGAAGACGAAGAAGAGGGTACAAATGTAGAAGAAGCACATGAATTGTTGGCTGGAATTAAAGAAAGCATGGAGCAGAATGCAGGTAGGAAATATGAAGTAATAAAAGGGGACCATCTTTCTACTTCTTTATACATTTTATATAATTCTTTTTAACCCCATAAATTTATATGTATGTGACTGAATGTTCAGAATCTTCAGATTCTTAGCCAGATTTTTTTCTATAAAGTTTTCTTCTTGGAACAGAGAGCATCATTTAAATAATATAAAGTAAAAAGTGAACTATGTAATTATCAAATTTGCAACGAAAACTATTTCAGCAAGAAAAATAATGGCAGTTTTTTGCAATCTTTATTTTGTTTAAAATAATAATGTCTTTTAAGATGTAATGTTTTAATGATATCAATAGTTTCTAATTTTGCCTCAGCTTTTAGAAGTCTTAAATATAAAATAAGAAGCTGGAGTCAATCATTGCAAGACAAAAAAAATCAGGTCAAAACAAACTTTACTGCCATACATTTGCTCCACAATGTATGCTAAGTTAATAAGTCACTTTATATCTCACTCTATTAATCTGAAAATGAAGCTTGCAAAACCTATTTTGCATTTGTTTTTGCAAGAATTTGCCTCATGGTTAATTGTAAATAGAAAATGTTTGCTTTGTAACATGCTTTTTCTATTCTATTTCTTTTCATATCAAGATCTGACTACGTTATTCTAAAATGCCTAATTTCATGTTTAGTAGCCTTAAAGTTCTAATATTTATAACATTGTAAACACAGGTGTCATTTTATTTCATAGCTACGCTTATATTCTATAAATCTCTTAACAGCATGTAGTACACACAATGACATTTTTTTTTTGGAGTTCAGAAAGTGTCTCTGACGCTCTTTGCTAATATGTGTGAATATGTTAGTAAATAATTTCAGGTATTTTTTTTCCATAAACTAGGTTCCTATTAACCTTCTTTGTGTTTCAGGTTGTTTAGATGATCAGTATGCTGTTAAACTCATTAAAGATAAGCTCAAATCTATGCCTTGTAGGAATCAGGGATATGTTTTAGATGGGTTCCCAGAGACCTATGACCAGGCAAAAGAGCTTTTTAACTGTAAGTACTGCTGCTTTTGTTTTTATTGCTGCTAATATTATCATTATTTTTCTCAGTGCCGTATTACTTGAAATGCATCAACACTGTTTTGACAGCAGAGCAAGGCACAAAACAGTTGTTTTCACATGCTGCTTAATATTTAAGGATTGTAATGAATTGTTATGCACCTTAAACAAGATGGTTTTCAGATGATCTTGGCTGGCAATGTCCTAAATAAATGACCAAATACAGAGGATACTTTCTGTGTTGATATACTGTGTGCGAGAAAACGGTAAGGCAGACTTTCTTCATAATATTAAAGGGCTGCTTAACAGGGGGATCCAGACAGTTCACCAATACATATTGTGTAAACCAAATTAGAGTGGGTATAATGGATGAGCTTCACTGGATATGACTTCGGTGGAGCTCTGCAACATACATCTCACATTGTGAGCTAGCACTGTCTATGCATTAAGACCAAGAACCATCTCCATAAATTAAAGGATATAATTTTAAGGAAAACAAAATTCAGTCTTATTCATTTTACTATGCTGGGCTGTAAATCATCTAGCTTAGCTATTGCTCAAGTAGTTGAGCAGACTATTCATATCAAGAACAGCAGACAATTAACAGCAGAAACCATTTTAACCATACCATAGCAAACCATTTCTACTTACTAAGCTCTGTCACTGGCAGAAGAAAATACGGAGCAGCAGGAGAAGCCAGGGTAAAGTAGCATGGACACATTTTGTAACTGTGTATGCAAGTGCATGCTCTGCTGTATAGCTAAAAAACTGTTAGTGTCCCATGGTAGAATCTGTGGCAGGCAACAGCATAGATTACTTACTGACTACTCTAAACTGGTGTCCAGGTTAGATTAATTTCCAACAGTTAGGATACAATTTGAATATTAAAAAAAAAAAAAAAAAAAAGTGTATGGGGCATGTTATTAGTAAATATAAAAATATTGTTGCTTCAAATGATAATGTCAATCATTTATTGCTTTTGTTTTAGTGGAAGATGAAGATGAAGAAGAAGAAATCAAAGGCAAAATACCTAAATGTGATAAATTAATCACACCTGGTAAGTTTGACTTTTTAAATAAACAGAGGAGTTTTCAAATATTGCTGCCACCAACTAGAAGTTTAAAATATCACTCCATCTGTTCATATTCCATTTAAAAGAAATATCCACGTAATGCTGCTACCCTGTTGTTTGCAAGTGAACAGTTAATCGATAGGAGGGTTTGGGTTTGTTTTGTGGGTGTATTTTCTTTTTTTTTTCTTTTTTCTTTTTTTGTTTTCTTTTGTGAAAATGCCATCAGCTGTTTTTACCAAGAGCAGTGGCTGCCTTTGTTATGATCCATCTATTAATACCATCTATTGGTATTCCATCTACCAATGGAATAAATGTGTGCTCCTGAACATGGAATATTAATATATATATATATATATAAGTTTAGCCCTTTGTAGTGTTCTTATCAGTACTTAGCATTGTATCTTGAATGATACTACCAAACTCATTTTATTGCATCAGCAAAGCTGGGAATTGAAATAGTTTGATTTCCACCTATGTAGAAAATGCTTTATTGTGATGTTTTTGCTATTCTTGATTTCTTTGGATTGGCATATTTTATGTTACAAGATGCATATGGTCAGGTAGTATAAAAGCTGAATGCCTAAAGCGTTTAGAGTTTTTTTTGCAGCCTGATAACTCGCTAGCTTCAATGGAAGTGGAGAAGATTCAGAACATCCTGAAAAAATTAATTCCTTTTTGCACTTAAATGAAGGGGAGAAAGAGTTGATTTAAAAGGAGACTTTTACCTGGTTTCATTTAGGAACTGCTGATTTCTGAAGTAAAAAAGGAAAGTGTGTTCTTTATAAACAAAAACACTTTCAATTACAATAGCAGAAAGAGGAAATGTGAATTACAATGGGCTGGAGAAGTACCAGCTCATCAAATGCGTTTAAAGGTAACTCCAATGTAATTTAAATGTGTGAATTATGATGGGCTGGAGAAGTCCCACTTTCTCTCCCAAAACAAGGACTTCAGGCAAAGGATCTGTTTTAGAAACACCTTATCAGCCTTGGAGAAAAATTGTTTTAGAGAACTGAATGATCCAAAAGGGTGTTTTGTTGATTTATGGAGATTTTTGTGGGTTTTGTCTTGTTTCTGTTTTTAGGGTGGGTTGCTCTTTTTGGCATGCACAAGGAGGTTGGAGGGGAATTGTCTCTATTTGGTTCTGCAAATTTCTCTCTGAAATCAGAAAAAATACTTCCCAACTTTGTTATATTAATAGGCCTTGGTAGTATGGAGAAGTGATATTAGATAGAAATATCAGAAAATATTGTGATAACTTATATGAATAATTAAAAGGCAGACTGGTTGTTGATAAAATACTGCAACTGCTTAATGAAACTTACAGGAATGGGAATTCTGAACTAAAGAAAGGAGATTTTTTTTTTTTATGGATCCTTTGACGCCTTCTGGTGTTCTTGTCTATGAAAGTACTACAAATAACATTGACATCAAATTTTATGGCATCTGGTAGCATAGTATGTTTAATCCACTGTTTTTTTTTTGTTTGTTTGTTTGTTTTTTGTTTTGTTTTTTCCTAATTTACTTTATTTAGGAAAATACAGATTTATTTGTGAGATGAGAAATTGCAATACACTGTGATGACTCTTGAAGACTTGACAAACAAATGAATTGTTAAATTTTCCAGTGTTACTTCCTAATTCGGCTGCACTATTCACATTTGTTTATTTCTCTTCCTATACCAAATACATGTGTTGGTTCTTCTCTGTTAGCTTTTTCAGAAAAATTGGACTATGTTTGTTTCTTCTTTCAAGAATAGTCTTGTTGATAATGCTAAGAAAGAACTTGGTAGAATTAGAACATGTTGCTTCTTTGAATGCCTCCTCTTCATTTTGTTGGATTGCTCTAACTGGAGAAGTTGCATATCAGCATTTCTTAATTAAAGTATCTATAAGGAAATATTTATATACATACGTGTGAATTTATGTTCATTTGTCATTTAAAATGTATTATTAACAGAAGGTAGATATGAGGGAGGAAAAATCATATATGGACACTGATAATGTGTTCTTCTTCACAGAATTTGTTGTATCTTTGACTGCATCTGATGAATTTCTTAAAAACAGAATAATAAATCTACCAGAAAGTGTTGTTGCTGGAACTCATTATACTCAGGACCGGTTTCTGCAATCTTTAAGTCTCTTCAGAGAGATAAACACAGAAGATGAGACTGTTCTCAACTATTTTGATGAACTTGAAATACATCCTCAGTTTATTGGTATGAAATAATAAAATTCTTAGCTAAAATATCAATAAAAATTCCTATTGTTACAAATGTAACACTTGTGAAGATTGTACAGTAAATATATAAATATTTTACCTAACATATCAGAATAAATATACAGCAGGCATCTAACTATATACCTGTGGAAATATTTATGTGCTCATAAAGATTCTGAATTGTGCTGATTAGATTGTACAGTTAACATGTCTTTAAAATTAGTGTTTTTATTAATCATTTGGTTTTGTAGCCTAAATAACCAAGATAGTTATCTGATATAGTTTACAGATCTCTGCACTTGGCATCCTTCTGGACTAATAATAATATATTTTCATGGACTTTAACTATTATAGCTGCTCATATATTTTTTCTTTAGATTTAACCTCAGATGTGGTGAAAATATATGGGTATTCTGTAAGTATGAAAGAATATGATTAGAGATTAAAAGTGGAAGGCGTCCTTCTTGTTTCATACCTATGGGTGAGAAAAAATTTCTTCCCTATGCACTCCCAGAACATCGTGATCACTGGGAAATCTTGAGAAGATTACTATAATCTGATAATTCAAAAACAATAAATACAGGATGACAGCATTCTTAATAAAACTGGTTTTAGATTGTGGAAGGGAGATGGAAAGAAAAGAGTAGAAGAGAAAGAACGCAGGGAAAACTTGCAACTACAGTAAAACTGCTGATATGTGGATTGTCCATCTATGTGAGTTACAGGAAGTGATTTCTTGAGCAAACATAAAAAAATAAAAAATAGAAAGTCAATGGATTAATGTCAGTCGTGGAGATTATCTTGAAAATAATACCATATTTGAGTTGTTAGGAAATGTTGCAGTGGAAAAAAATAACATGAATAATCATTTTAGATTTAGAATTATTTCTAAGCTACGCTCACATCTTTACCCTTTTAAGTATCCAGGTGCTGAGTGATTTTTGTATTATGTACTGATTATTTTCTCACACAGTTTTCCACTAAAATCTATTTTACCATTTTCCAATTCATAAAAGAAAGGAGGTGATAAGATAAATATATTTGGCTCTGTTGTCTTCAGTTGATGCCGCTGTCTTTCTTAGATCCAAATGGTAAAGATGATTGTCTTAGTCCTGGGAGGCTTGAAATGCAGGTTAGCTAGCACTTTCATTTAATTAAGTCTGAAGTAACTCTGATGCAGAAAGTAAATGTAAGAAATAATAAATATTAATAAGGTGTGATGTCATTAATTGGTCATATTTTAATCTTATAAACTTTGGGATATACAAGTAATAGCACTGTGCAAGACATTGTTTTATCTTGGTGAGGACTTTAAAGTGTATGGTCTATGACAGCATATTTCAGTGTTTTATGCTAAGAATTTTGTCCAAAGATTACTCTAAAAATCTAGTTAATTCTAAATTAGGAAAGCCACTGGTCTACTAGCTGATTAACTATTGTGGTATCACAATACTCACTGGTTAACAATTGAGGTATCACAGCTGTGGGGCTTAGTGACTTCCAGATGAATTTCACATTCAGTTTATAGTGATGATTTCCATCTTAAATGCAGAAGCATCTTTAGAGCCTGTTTATGTCAGGAACTGCTCCTTTCCCTATATTCCCTAAAATTAAAAGGTCAGATTGCAAAGATAATTTCACTGGGGAATCTTCAGCTCTGCATTCTAGCTGATATTCCTGTTGGTTTATCAGAACCACAGAATTAATATCAACAAATTTAAACAGGGAAGTGACTGTTATATTGGTCAGAAGAAAGAAAAGTTACCTAGGTTTACTGGCCTTAGTGGAGAACTGTTGAAGAATTGTGCTTGATTCATTAAATACTGACTCAAATTAATCAATATTTTCTTCCACCTTAATTTTAGAAAATCTTAACATATGGCCTTACAAATTGCTTTTATGATTACTTTTTTTTTTTTTTTAACTGAGTCTGAAATATGATTAGTACAAAGGAGTGGGCTTCAAGATTCTGGAAACGCTGCTCTGCTACAGTGACTCACTTCATGAAGTCTGCAAGTCTGTGTCTTGTTTTCTTCATCTGCAAATTGGAGATGATGACACAGGCACATTAAATCATCTACAAAAAGGAATGTTAAAACAGAATTTTTCATTTTTTGGTGATCTTTACTCCCTGTTAGGGACAGTGATAATTTTTTTTTTTTTCATTTAAAACCAATATTTTTAGGACATTTTAGCATTTAATTATGATTGCTCTAATGTTTGTGTTGTAATCTTGCTTCATCATCTGAGAAAAGACTATAGTCTTTGAGACCTCAAATTCAATGCCAAGAATGTTCTTAGCAATAATTTAAATGACTAGAAAATTGTCTTGCACTGTAATTTGTATATCCAGGTACAGCAAAAGCTGTATAATTAATGAACTCCTTGGCATAAAAAAATAAATCATTGTAGTTTGGAATACTTCAGGAATGTAATTCCTGATTTTTGGAAAGAAGAGGCTCTGAAAGAAATGTCATCATGCGTCATGTAGAATTATGTTAGCTTTCTACCTTGTTTCATTAGCAGAGTTTGGACTTCAGGTCTAAATCACAAAGACACAAATTCTTGAAATAATGGTATGAGTAATGCTTCTGTTTGAATTAGTGAAGAAATGAGAAGCATGCTTTGCCAATAGCTTTCAACATAACTTCATAAAGCAGAGGAAAGTGGAGTAGGGACTACTGAGCTTTAGACTAAATTCTGTATTTCAGTTGTTCTGTATGCCCCAAATCCTCACTTTCCCTCTTTTCCATGTATGTTACTATACCCTTTCTTTCAGATGTCTCCAGCGCTTTCCGGGCTCCATATGCATTCAGTGCCAGGAGTCTTTTCCTTCTCCTGTCTTTTCCCCCATTTTCCATTCTTTTATTTTTTTCACTTTTTTTTTTTTTTTCTTTTTCTGCAGGTTCAGTCCCCAAATAGTCTTCAGCAGTTAAAAAGGAGGAGTGAAAGGAAAGATTTCCGTGGTCTCTGTGCTTCTACATGAAGCCACAGATTAGTTTTGTAGGCATAATGTAATAAGAGTTCAACCAGAGATAGGTCTGTGTAATTGTAAAACACTGCGTGAGTGAAAATTTTGGAGTTTCTTGCCAAATTCTAACAACCTGTTGTGGAACCTGCATGAAGATACAGGGTCAGAAGCTGATGGTTTGATACCTGTAGATAAGCTGCCATACGAGTGTCAAAGAGAAGTATCTCTGATACTGGAATAACCTTGTATGAAAGTTTCAAAACTTAGGAATGCTGCAACTGCTGAAAAAAGTTGTAAAAATTAGTTGTAAACTAGTTATAAAAATTAACTATTTTCTCCCTAGCATCACATTAAAAAGACAAACTATTTTAGCTGAAACTAACAAAGAAAATTAGAGATTAAAAAATCTGTTTTGTATAGGAAAAAAAAAAAAGACATTAATGGCATTTATAAGACACTCCAAAAAAAAACATACTTGAAAATTCAAGCAACATGAACACTGTATATATTTAGGTCTTTCAGTTATTCACTAAAGACTATTGATAATTGAGAAAAGCCTTGCAAAGTTCTCTCTTGTATTGTTTTAAAGATGTAGCCAAATTTGAAGATCCTGAGAACAGATTTATTGTAAAAGAGATTGTCAAAGAAATTGGGGAACCTCGAAATTATGGTTTGACAGATGAAGAAAAGGAGAGTTTGGAACGGAAAGCAGCTGAAGAACGCCTTGCCAGAGAAGCTAAAGAAGAAGCTGAACGAGAGCGTAGAGAAGCTGAGGAAAGGGCTGAAAGGATGGCAAACTGGGAAGAGTGGGTATGTTAATTTGCATTTTTGTGGAAGCCATTATTATTTATGTGTCTTAGAAAGCTGAAGCAATAGCGTTTCCAGCAATCTGTCATGTAAATATACTTGGAAAGTGTGGGATAAATTCTCTAGTTCCTTATATCATACTTTAGATATTTCTCAGAATATCTTCACAGTGCATTTTGAGGCTCAAACTAAAGAACAAAGAATTGATCGATATCCCAGGCTGCATTGCTGAAAGGTTTCTGAGCTTGCAAGAGAGACGTCGTTGAGACATCAGTCCTCACTTCAGTGCAGCCTCCCTGAGGCAGTCTGAAGGATGCTTTTTATTTGGTAATACTTTAATAAGTACCTAGTATTTAGGGTGCATGACCTCACAGGTTTTGCACATGGTACTTCTCCCTTATTTATTTTGCCATACCTAAGAAATTTTAGGTAAATAACCTGAAATACATATTATAGGAAATTGCTTGTTCACACCTAAAGTTTTTTTTTTCTTTTCTTTTATTTTCCCCTCACCAGTAGGTAGTTTTTCTACTGCTTCCATTTAGAGTTATTCAAAAACAAATTGATCATTGCACAGATAAATCTTTTTTTTTTTTTTTTTTACCTTTGAAAGGCCATAAATATGCTTTTAAAGAAGCATTTATATTGCTCTGATGCTAGCTTGTAAATAAGAATCGTCTTTGTTATCTCTATGCTTATTTTCAAGGAAGTGAACTGCATTATACGGAGCTAAACTAGGTGTTTAAATAAAATGTGTAAGTTTACCCTTTTAAAATCTATGCATCTATTTGGTTGCCCTTGAGATTGTAAATTAGCTGCACTCTGCGTAAAAAGACCTAAGACCACTTGCAGGATTTATTGAGTAACACTTCTGGATTCAGTGAATTAGGTAAACATAGTTTTCAGTTGCTGGTCTCTTAGTTTTATCTGAACATTGCTTTTGTGTTATGCCTTGAGTATAGGAAAGCAATATTCAGGGTATCTTCATTTTATAGTTTTATATACATGTAGGACTAAGGTTACTTATGAATAAAGTGCGAGAAGAGAGGACAATAAACATGTTTTTGAGTAATCTTCTGGCTAAAACAGGATGCAAGTGTGCATCCTATTACATGCTATTGAATGTGAAAAAGGAAAACTCCAAGTGGTTTTATTTCCCTCTTTCCCTCTTGTACAAGGATTATACTCAAACAAATTGATTTAACCTGAAATCAAGAATAAATTTAGCTGAACTGACATAAATGAAAGAAAACAAAAAAAAAAAAAAGAGAGAGATTTAAAAAGACATATTTTGAAGTTATTTAATGAGTTAGGCATCTCTCCTGTGTAAAAATATTCTCCTTTTCCCCAGGTCAAGGAACCCTCAAGAAACTATCTACATTTGCAGTAGTATTAAGTTTTGAAGTGGTGAAGTGTTTACCAACCACTTTGCCAAATACTTTTGGAAATAGAAACACTGGAAAACTTCAGAATAAATCTCCTTTTAGGTGTTAGGGAGAGAGAAGTAAAATAATTTTGCTGGGGGGGTTATTTCCATTTTCTTCATGCTTAGTTTGCCATCCTTGGTGTGCCATGTCCTTTAAGATTAATAAGCAGTTCATTGTTGTTCTGTTAAGTGTGAGTTTTAAAGTTGTGTACATGATTTCTGGCACTATTCTCCTTTTTTCCCATAGGTCACCACCATTAGTTAGTAAAGTACTGGTAAAGTACTTATAGGTGTTCTTCTTTGTTGTTTGGTTAATTATTTGTAGAATAAACAACTGGAGGAAGTCAAAAGACAAGAACAAGAGTTACTGGAGGCCCAATCTATTCCACTACGAAACTATTTAATGAAGAATGTCATGCCAACACTTATTCAAGGGTTAAATGAATGCTGTAAGATCAGGCCAGATGATCCTGTTGATTTTCTGGTAAGGTCATTACATCTCTTTTTAATGAAATATGTTTAATGAAAATATTCACATGACTCCATAGAATCTCATTTAACATAAGGACTTGAATTCTTTTTCCGTACTTCATGATAACAATTAATTACCTGCAATTCAGGTAAGCGGGAAGTATAGTGAAAGCTGAAGTACCCAATAACTATATGGGATCATTTGACACATCAATCCAGTTTTGCTTTAGAGTAACAGGAAAAGAATTAGTACCAGAATCAGTTACGCTTCAGTGAGTATTCTCTCACTCTGCACTTATGTACCCTGCCCATTCTGCTGTGACATAGAGACCTGCAGAAAGAGAGGCATCACTCTAACATATCACTCTAGGCACAATGATGCATGTTATTGTAATGTCTTCAATAACCCCTTCACAATACAGATAAATTCATGAGTGAATCCAGACAGACATTCATGGAGTGTCTGTCCAGTTCCAAAACACCTCAAGAAGATATTTAGTCCAACTTTCTGCTGAAAGTTGAGTCCACATTGAATTCAGACAGGAATTCAGATGCCATAAAGCTACAGTTGTATATATAAAACTTTCACTTATCACTGTATAAGTAACTTTCCTAGCAAATGGAGTAAGAAAAGCAGTACAAGCAATCACTGTTTTAATGAAGAACAAACAACAACAACAAAAAAAAAAAAAAAACACAAAACAAACAAGTAAAAGCTTAGAATGCATGTTAAGTGTAGCTGTAGGAACATGAGATCTTTCCTACTAATCATGTAACATTGTATGATCTGAATTATTTACTCTTTTGGGTCCAGAAATCAGGCCCTAGGGTACTCCCTAGGATTTTTCATGGAGTAACAAATACTGTCATAATATATGACTCCTCTTGCCCATGATACTGATGGGGTCAATGCTATGAAGAGGCAGAATGAGGTGTGTGGTATATATGAAGAAAAGGTTTCTCTGACATACTGGGCGGAGATTAAATTTTAGAGCCACTTAACACTTTGTGTGATTTTGTTTAAAGCCATGTTATCCACTACATTGTTGTTGTTTGGTGTAAATTTTAAAGTTGGAGACTTGAAAATAACTTCGGAAATCTTATTTTTATAGGCAGAATATCTCTTCAGGAACAATCCTGATACACAATGAGGTAACATTAAATCCTAACAGCTGTAGAAACTGTTACATGGAAAGGAAGAACATCGCTAATGTATTTTACAATAAAAATACTTAGTTTTTGAACAAAAATAGTCATGGTTTTGTTTAGGTTCATTATCTAATCTAAATTTTTATTTCTCATACTCTACTAGTATGTTGCATTGGGTTTTTAATATTCCTTCTGTAAAAGTATCATACGCCACACATTAATTAATACATTTGTGTATCTGTATTTCATGTATCTACTTCAAAGTCTGAACCACAAGAATCTGTTCTTTCTCCAAAACTTTCCTCTTGAATTTTTTCAGTTGTGCATCATATTTAAGCAATATATTGTTGTGATCTGGAAAGGATAGCCTGAGGAAAATCTTTTATTTAAAAAAAAAGGAAAAAAAAAAGAGGGAGAGAAGAAATGGCATCTTCACTCAAAACAGAAATAATAGAAGCAATGAGCACTCGTATTTTCTCCATTACCTATCAAGAGGTCAAAACACTTGCAACACAGCCCTCTTGTGCTCTAGTGACTGACCAGTTAAACAATTTCCCAGTATAGGTATGTCATAAAACCTGTTTGTTTTTTTTTTTTTTTCCTGTTTTCTTTCTTCTTTGGTACAATACAAATCGGTGTATGTAGGTGTAAATCTCATCATTGATACTTGATAAATGTTTTGAAGAATGAGGAGTTTCCAGGCTGTTGATGTAATTCTTTTTTCTCTACTGATTTTTTGTGCCTTTCAGAGAACCTGTCAATGTCTGTGCTGAGTGAGCTGAAACTTGTATCAAATTTGGTGTAAAACAAATGCAAGATTTTGTCAAAACAAAAAGACAAGGACTGCTTGGGAGAAAGAACTGAAAAAAAGTAGTGATAACAAAATAAATTGCACCTCTTTTACCAGTTAGTTTTGGTATTTAAATTTTAGATGTATTAATTTCCGAGGTGCTTATCCAGATATATTACTATTTTTACAAAGAAACAGTCCCCTTTTGGCTGTTTTCAACCAGTCACACAGTCAAGGCAGTGATGATAGCCTGAAGAGAGTTCAGGACTAGTATCTCCTACCCTAAAGGTACATTTCTTGGGCATGTGAAGTTCCTGTATGCTGCCAGTCCATGTTACCACTTACCACGTGAGGCAACTGAAGATGAAATAACTGGTAATTTTAGACAAATTTGTAGGTTGAGTGCTACTTTTTCAGACCAAAGATGAAAATCGGACACTAAAAAATGAGGTAAAATAGGCCTTTAGTGTAGTTGCTGTTAATATATATATTTTTCTAAGAAGAAACTTTTCTGAGTAGATATGTGAAGTGTGAGAATTGTTAAGTTTTTGAAATCTGCGTGGTCTCCTTGTGGCAGAGCTTTTAAAACACCTATTAGAAAACAAACTCCCTGCTCTGCGTGGGACCAAAAAGAAAAAAAAAAAGAAAAAAAGAAAAGAAAAGCCTGCTGCGGCTGACTATTCCCCCAGGCCGCGGGGCTGCCCCTGGGACCCCAAGCGGCCCCCACAGCCCCGGGTCCGCTCCCGCCGCCCCCGTTCCCATGGCGACCGCAGGCCGCGCTCTGCCCCCTCCCCTCGGGGCCGGTGCCCGCCGCCAGCAGCGCGAACCGCCGGCCCCGCCCCTTCCCGCCGCGCGCACGCGCCCCCTCAGAGCCGTTAGCGCTTTGTTTTCAAACCCCCGCGCGGCGCCACGCGGCGGAACTACGACTCCCGGCACGCCCCGCGGCGCCGCGGCTTGTTGCGCAGGCGCGGGCGAGTCAGCGTGCGCGGCGTGCGGGGGTGGCCGCGGCGCTGCGTGGGGCCCCCCCCCGTTCTAGAACGTCGCTGTGGTAGCGCCCGGGCGCCATGTTAGAAGGCCGGAGGGGAAGAGGAAAGTGAAGCGGCGGCGGCCGGGCCCAGCAGCGGCTCTGCGCTCCCGGCCGGCCCGCGGCCCGGCCCTGCCATGCTCGCAGCTCCCGCTGCCCGGCGGGACGAGTGAGCGGCCCCCAGGCGGCGGCGGCGGCGGCGGCGGCCTCGGCGGTGGGGGAGGACGAGGAGCAAGAGGAGGAGGCAGAAGGGGAAGACGCGGCGGTGGTGGTGGTGGCGGCGGCGGCGGAGGAGGAGGAGGAGGAGCCGGAGAGACGATGCCGTTGTAAGTCGGGCGCCGGCCGGGCGCCTCGCCTCAGCCCGCCCTGCGGCCCCGTTACCCCTTCCCGCCCCCCTCGGGTGCCGCAGTGCGAGGCCGCACGGCCCCGGGGCCCCGTTCGCCCCCCTGCAGGTGCCGGACCCGGGGGGGTGCCGAGGCGGCCCCCGCCTTGTGGCGGCCCCCTCACGGCGGGGCCGGCTGCGGGGCGCCCCTCAGAGAGCGCAAGGCGCGCGGCTCGCCCCGGCCGCCAAGCGCGGACCTCGTTTTATTACACACACATCTTTTCCCTCCCAAACCTGCCGGCGCAGCCTCCCCCCATGTGAGCGCGTTTCCTCAGGCGCCGGCTGTGAGGCGATCCCGGCCGAGCCCGCTGCCCTTGCCAGCCCCCCCCCCCCCCCCCCGGTGCCGGGTGACTCCGAAACGCCCGGGCACCTCGCCGCCAGGCCGCCGGCCGGCAGCGCCCCCTGGCCGGCAGCGCCCAGCCCGGCTCCGTGCCCCCTGCGAGCGGCCGCTCCGCCGCCGGGGCTGCCCCCCCCCAAGGCAGGGGCCTGCCGCCCGCCTGCGGGAACGCGGGGAGACGCGGCCCTGGCCTGGCTTCTGCGCCGGTTTCCTTTCCCCCACCTCTTCCTGTTTTTATTTTTTCTCGCGGACGTTCTGACGGCTCCGGGTGGATTATACAAAACTCCTTAGTTCCGTAGTCCACGATGGTAATATTTCGTTATACCTCAGTAAGTCGAGGTAATGGGTTAAGTAGGCTTTAGGAATCAGGTATGTTTACACTCTGAGCTTTTTGGGGGGAGGAGGGAGAAGGCAGCATGGGGACATTGAAAGAGGAATACAAAGAACTTGGAATTACTACATGGGCTGTTGGTTTACATATGCAGACATCATGTGAAGAATAGCCCAGTTTGCCTGGTGTGCTTGTTTTATTGAATCTAAAATACTGCTGTATTAGTCGCAGTGCAGATAATGTGGGACAAGCTTAAGAGTTTGTGGCAAAAACAACACAGTAGGTGAATGGCGTGAGGAAAATGGTTATGCCAAGTAGTTTCCAAGGCTTTTGTAACAAGAATTGAATGTATTTATAAATAAACTTTGCACATGTTCATTATGGCAATGAAAAATTACCAGAAACTATGGCAGTGAAAATTTACCAGAAATGGACTTTGAAGTTAGCTTTTTTTTTTTTTGGCTTCAGGAAAATGGGAGGGTACTTATTCTGTCTGCTTTCATTTGTAGTTTATTTTGTTGTGTCTACATAAGTTCCAAATGCTTCATAACAGCATTCAAACTTTGTGCCGCTTCTGATGAATAAATTGTGTTCCTCGTCATAATGGTCTTCAACTTTGAAAAGTTTGGGATGATTTGTTTATTATTCTTAAAGTAGGTAGGTGTTTATGATAACTTAACTATAACCTCTTAAGTAACATTGTGTAGTTGTAGCTGCAGTGATGCATTACTATTTTCACCATAAACATTACTTAGCAACTGTACTAATACAAAAAAGTTTATTTTAGCTAGAAAAACAGAAGCTTTCTTGGGTTTTTCATTTGTTTTGTCATCTATATGTTTGTGGAACAACCGGCTTCATATTATTCAGTCAAGACTTCAAAACAAATGCTGTAATGCTAGTAAGCTGCAATGCTGGTAATGTTAATTCTAGAGTTTCTGAAGAGATACCTCTGACTTAATTTAAGAGTATTGGATGTTTAGAGTACTTAAAAAAAAAAAAAAAAAGGGGGGGGGGTCATAGGAAGTTACTTGTTTGCGTAATTCTTTCCAGGATCTTTTTCTGCTTGATGCTTGTATACTTCTGTATGATAACCTTCCGAATAAGTGTAGAACAACCAGCCCTGGTCCCATTATCACTGCCATGCTTTCAGGGTGGCAAGCAACTTAAGGGATGTCTTGAAAGACGTTTTCTTTTTCTTTTAGGGGTGGTGTGTGGTATTGACAGGCCAAGTCAGAGCTGACCTCCCACACAACCAGCAACTGTCATCAGTCTGTACTTCAAAAGCTTTCAGAGTTCTCAAGAGGTGTACAACAGAGGTCATGCTGAGCTGTCTGTGTATAAATATTCTCTTAGCAGTATGGTACAAAACAGTAAAAACAAGCAAATTATTTATATACAAGGCACTTGAGTAGTAAGAAAGCAAACTCAGGCTCTGGTGATGCCGATAACTAGTGTTTTGGAAAAGTCCTTTCGTGAATAATAAAAATACTAAGTATATACCGGTAACTTACATGAGTGTTTATCATGGTTCTCATTAATCTGCATGGTGAGATAGCTGCATCAAGAAAAAACTATTTAACTTTACATAACTTTATATTAAAAAACAAACAAAAAAAACCCAAACTTTTTGGAAACAAAATGAGTATTTCTTCTGTTGTAGAGAGATATTTTAGTGAACTGTTAGATACAGAGTACTTGTTCCTGAGCATTATTAAACCAAACTGCTAGGGAGGAGCAAAGCTCACTAAGGTGTTGATGTGTTTCAGGTAGGGCTAGATCTGCAGAAAGGCTACTGACTCCGTGAAGCGGTAGCTATGCTTTTGTGAACGAATGGTGCAGCCTCTTTATGTAACCTGGGCCTCTCTGACCCTCCAAGCAGAGGAATAGCAGTATGAATCTGTTTCTTGTTAAACTGCTGATGGTAGTGCACTTGCTTCTCTGCTGAACTCCTCCATCTGCTGAAATCTCTGCTAAAGACTTTTTTAACCAGAAGTGAAAAAGTTCAGAGTCAGATACCTGAATGTTGAAGTTCCGTAAGTGCTATGAAAGTTTTAAAGTTTTGGTGGTATTGGTAACTGCCATATAACAGGTTTGAAATGTCGTTAGTGGTCCCCCCCTTTTTTTTTTCCCTTCAGTGTATTGTAGGCAGCCAAACTTACAAGAAATCTTCAGAAGTGAAAATGTTTTCTTTTGCTGACCTTTGGGTTAGATACATGCAAAATCATTGTTTTGCTGACTTATGTGACTGTCAGTTTTATGCCAGAAGAAGTATGAGACCATTGAAAATGATTTTCAGTGATTGGGGTTGGATAAACGGTGTGTTTCTCAACAAAGCTAAGTTTTATAGGCTGTATTTTGGAAGGAATTAAGTTATTACTAACTACAGAGCACTGGACTTACTTCAGAGGAACAGTTGCCATTATTGACAGTGATAGCTTTATTAATCAAGAATAAATTAATGTAAAAACCTCCACTGAAGATGAGTTTGATGTAGTAGAGAGGGGAACATACAATATACATGGTATTGTGATAGCTTTCAGTCTTCTACTGTCACTCCAAAAAAGTCTGAGTTCTCACTTGGGGACCTGCTGGAAACTCAGCTGCTTTGGGCTGAGCAAATTTCACCTTGGAGGCAAGTTTCACTTGGGTGGCAATTTTCACCTCTTAATATTGAAACATTTCATCCAACTTGTAGTTCTTTGCTTGGTACTTCCTGTTACCTTCTGATTCAACCTTACTGAATTTCTTCAATGACTACCTCTGGAGTATTTTGTTCCCAGAACAGCAATCAGTCTTGGTTTTGGTTCAAGTGCTGCCTGCAGAGTTCAGTAAAAGTTTCTTCTGTTTAAACTTGGGAAACTTCTGAAATTGTTGTTAGTAAGAATGCAGTGGATGGGTGTGTGTCTGGACATGCTGTTTCTACTATTCTTCTGTACAAAGACCGTCCCAAAAAAGAGCCAGAGGGGACTTAGGAATGAGTCAAAGGTTAGCAGAATGTGAATGCTCTTCCTTTTGCCATAGTTGCTATCTCTTCCATAGTTCTGTTGCTTGTCGTTTCTCCAAAACACATGGTCAGGTCTGTTTCAGGTGTCTTGAACATACCACGCCAGCAATTTTGACACTTTTTTTTTTGGTATATATTAAAATCCTGCCCAGGAAGAGCAGCTGTCTTAACTTAAAATGCAACTTCACACGTAACCAATTTGTACAGACTTCGTTCAGAGTTTTCCTTTACTTCTGGAATTGTGTGTAGTGATTATTACGTTAGCATTAAGCCAGAAACTTTCACCTGAAATTGCCATTTAGCCCTTGATGGAGAAGACTTCAAAATAGACAAAACCCTCAAAACACTCTGAAATCTAACACAGCAGAGATTGAGCTTTGTGAATTTCACTCCAGTTGCTTGACCAGATGGTGGGATGGCCAGTATTGCTCCAGAAATCTGGTGTAGGTGTCACCATGGCATTTTACTGGTGTGGTCAGTAGAGGCAAATAGAGAGGACAGTTCTGAGATTCTGTAAGTTGTGTGTTTATATCAGGAGGAAAGGCTGAATGAGGCAGAGGTCCTGACTGAAGTTAGATGTTTAAAGTTAGCATTCTGTGGGCTCTTGACACTATTTTAAGAAAGAGAAACCATAGGCTGTTAAATGTCTTCATCAGTGCTGGCTTACTGCACGTGTCAGTCTAGACAAACTTCATCCATAGTTTAGATTTAGTTATATGTGCAGTGGAAGGGATTTTTGTGTGAATGATTTACTTAGCACACATTTACGTGAGTTAAGTCTTGGGTGATTAAAATCTGTTTAAGGATAGATTACAGTTCTGTTACAATTTGTTAAAAATTGGGCATTGTTTTTTAAGATTCCAGTTGTTCTTGTTGCCTTTTATTTCCGTTGAGGATTCCAAATTGCAAGAGTGATGTTTGGGTAACGTGATGCTGATCGCAGCTATGTTCTCTTTGCAGTGAGAAGCGTGCAGTCTCAATTCAGATAATGCATTACCAGTAGAAATGTGGTAGAATACTGGTAGTGAAGAGGAAAAAGTGCTAAAAAAAAAAAAGTTTGCTCAAACTTGAGGAAAGCGGTGTTGAGATTATTCTAGCAGTTGAGATAAAATGCAAAGAACACCCTCATTTAAATCTTTTTCTTTCATTTTGTTAG